GTTTAACATCTCTTTTTCATGCCCCACTCTAGGAGAAATAACATTAGCTTTCCACATGCATTTACTGACTCCTTGGAAGGAAGGTTGGGCAATCCTACTTCCGTAGTGATACTGCCTCAGAAACCCAAGGAGGGGTCGCTATGAGTCGGGGCCGACTCGACGGCACATAACAACAACAACAACAACTAGCGACAGAGAAGGAAAAAGCTTGCATTTCAAGGCAATTGAACATGTGTGGAATGGGTAGTCCTTCAAAGAAAGAAGAAGTACATGAATCTTTGAATTACGAAAGAGGAAGATGTGAATATGACACAGTTGTACCTGCAAAAAACTGAGTCTATGGAGAAGACAAAGAAGCAAATAAAGGTTTACTCTGCAGTATTACAGGTGCTATCAGAGATCTGCACAAGGTCCCAAAGAGAATAAATGCATAACCCAACCTAGGGGTCAGGAGAGGCTTCTTTGAAGAATAATTGTTTAGCCAATTATTGGTGGAAACGTAGTATTGGTGGGAATTATGGATAACATTGAGAAGAATGGGAATTCCAGAATACTTCGTTGTGCCCATGAAGAGCCAGTATGTAGACCAGGAGGGTGTCATTCAAACTGAATGAGGGGATACTGCATGGTTTAAAATAAGGAAGGGAGTGTGTTGGGTCTGTATCCTTTGGACATACTCATTCAATCTGTATACTGAGCAAATAATCTGAGAAGAAGAAAACAGCATTAGGATTAGAGGAAGACTCATTAACAACCTGCAATACGCAAACCAGATGACACAACCTTGGTTGCTGAAAGTGAAGATGACTTGAAGCACTTACTCATGAAGATTAAAGACTACAGTCTGCAGTATGGACAATATATGCTCAACATAAAGAAAATGAAAATTCTCACAACTGGACCAATAAGCAGCATCACGATAAATGGAGAAAATATTGAAGTTGTCAGAGATTTCATATTTCTTGGTTCCACAATCAACATCAACAGAAGCATCAGTCAAGAAATCAGACATTGTATTGCACTAAGAAAATGCTGCATAAGACCTCTTTCAAGTGGTGAAGAGCAAAGATGTCTCTTTGGAGATTAAGGTGCTCCTAACCCAAGCCATGGTATTTTCAACCGCCTCATATGCATGTGAAAGCTGGACAACAAATAAGGAAGACCAAAGAAGAGTTGATGCTTTTGAGTTGCGGTGTTGGAGAAGAATATGGAAAGTACTATGGACTGCCAAAAGAACTAACAAATCTGTCAGGGAATAAGTACAGCCAGAATGCTCCTTGGAAGCGAGAATGGCCAGATTTTGTCTCACCTACTTTGGTAATGTTGTGAGAAGGGACCATTCCCTAGAGAAGGATATCATGCTTGGTAAAGTGGAGGGTCACCAAAAAAAAAGGGGAAAACCCTCAATGAGATGGATTGACATGGTGGCTATAATGATGGGCTCAGGCATAGCAAGGATTGTGAGGCTGGTGCAGGTCTGGGCAGTGTTTCATCCTGTTGTGCACAGGGTTGCTATGAGTCAGAGCCAACTGAACAGCACCTAACGACAAAAATAAAAATCAACTGCCCAATTCACTCTCCTGACACCTGAGTCTCCAGGACAGGCACTGCCAGATGCTACTCCAACTGAAAAGTGGGTTCCACAGTAGTCCCCTGGGATTTGGGTGTCATATCAACAGGGAAATTCATTAAATATACTACTCTGGTTTTTAAAATAATAGAAGTTAAATATTTTCCCAAAAAGTAAATGTATCAATAATCCTTCATTAGAATATTATTTCATTATATTTTTTAAATGTGCCAAATAGTGTATGTGTTCACTGTCATATGTACACACATACATACACATATATACCTAAATTATGTGTTTTAGATTAGAAGATCTCTGAAATACTTATTTTTTTTCTGAACTACTCTGAATGCCCATGATACAGTGCTTTGAAAACTGGTGGCAACAACAATCAGTGTAACGAAATCATAATTTCCATTATAAAAATACTTAGAACAGAAGAAAAGTATTTTATTCCAAAGCATAATAATCACACTTTAATATATTAACAAACATTTTTATAGGATACATTAAAATGAGAACACGTGTTTGTTAAGACAATCATACTCAAGCTAAGATGCAAGATACACATACATTGAAACTTTATGGTGTCAGTTTTGATATTTTATATTTACTTCTCTTATTGGCACAAAATCAGTAAAGAGAGAGTTGTTACACTACTCTACATTCAATCTCAGACTTTATATCAAATTCAAGGACAATACTAGTATAAACCTGATTAAATAAAAAGCAGCTTTAATATCTAGTTATGTACGATGAAGTTATATCCATTTTAATGCAAATTACTCATGAGGACATTATAAATTTGTCAGACTGAGATATTCTGTAAAACAGGTCCATTTAAAAGTCTCTAGTCACATAGAAGTCATTGTTTAACAAACATGCTACAGCTTCTAGTTTTGAAAATCCAAACAAATATTTTCAATTACAATTTTTTTTTTCTTCGAAGTGCATCTCTAGTAACTTTGGGGTTATAGCCAATAATAATATATTTTTCCAGAAAGCAGCCAAGGGCCTAGAGTAGAGGAAAAAGGCCCTTGGGTTATCAAGGTAAAACAAAACCAAGCTCACTGCTGTCGAGTCAAATCCTACTCATAGCGACCCCTCCTTGGGTTTCTGAGGAGGTATCATTACAGAAGTAGATTTCCCAACCTTCCTTCTGAGGAGTGGCTGGTGGATTTGAACCACCAGTCTTCTGTGTAGCAGTCAAATGCCTTAGGCACTACGCCACCAGAGCCAAAATATGATAAATTCATTAAAGCCATCAAATTATTTTCTTTTACTTTTTATGTATCTTGATTATTTTATTTCTAAATCTATAATCATTTCAAGTCTAATCTAAATGACAAAGGAGGCACTAAAATTTTTTTTATTATGTTTTATATCCAATTGAAGTACACTTAAAGCTGAAGAGGACAAATATATTATTAACTCTTGCAAAAGGACATTAGCTTAATAACATCTTCTCTTAAACAACACTCTCTTTTTTTACACTTGCAAATACAGTGTAGTCTCAACCCTTGCTTTGTGTAAACAGAATTAGAAACACCACTATATATTATGGAGCTCTGGCAGCACTGTGAACCGTCCGTGATTAGAACCTATCAGCGTGCTGCTCGGGAGAAAGGTAAGGCAGTCAGTTTCATCCAAGATTTCAGCCTTAGAAACCCTATGGGGCAGCTCTACTCTGTCCTATAGCTTGCTATGCGTCAGAAATGATTCGATGTCAGTGGCTTTGGTTTTCTTCCTCTTCTTTTTTAATTTTTATTGTGATTTGGGTGAAAGTTTACAAAGCAATTTCATTTTCCATACAGCAGTTCATACACATTTTCCTCGCGACATCGATTGCAATTTCCCACAATGTAACAACTCCCCTCCCACTTCCTCCCCATTGTTGCCTCTTCCCTGTGTCTTTCCCTGCCATGCACTCCTGCCCCCGAGTGGTCTCCCTGTGCATACACTGCCCTTGTGTTCTGCCATGACTGATCCCTCCAAGGAGGGGTTTGGTTTTTATAGGGTAAAAATTTTAAGGTCTGTACATTTGCTAAGTGGTACCTCTTTCCATTTTCTGTGAAAACTCTACAATTTGCGTTTTATATCTTCCATTTCCTACAGCTTTGCACTGACTTGAGCCCTCGAGTATGACCTGTTGTTGTTGTTGTTATGTGCTGTAGAGTCGGCCCCGATTCATAGCGACCCCTCCTCGGGGGCCTCTTAATCAATTGTACATAAAGTTCATATTCTTCGGTTCTGGTAAGCATTAGCTGCTGACAATGTCTGAAATGCAAGAGTACAGCAGTGGAAGACCTAAAAGCACTGAAGAGAAACCTTAAGAGGCTACACCTTAGAAGGAAGAGGTCATAAAATAGCCTTTGTTGTCAAGTCTATTTCTACTCATGGAGGCCCTATGTGTGTAGAGTAGAACTGCCCTGAAGAGTTTTCAAGGCTCTGACCTTTTGGAACCAGATCTCAGGCCTGTCTTCTAAGGTGACTCTGGGCCAGTGGGAACTGCCAAACTTTCAGCTAGTACTCAAGCGCTTAACTGTGCCACTCAGGGAATCCACAAAATAGCCTACAAAACCAAAAAACCAAACTCACTGCCATGGAGTCGGATCCAGCTCATAGTGACCCCTCCTTGGGCTTCTGAGGCACTATCACTACAGTAGTAGATTGCCCAATCTTCCTTCCCAGGAGTGGCTGGTGTGTTTGAACCGCCAGCCTTCTGGTTAGCAGTGAAATGCCTCAGGCACTACCCACCAGAGCTCCCCAAAATAGCTTTAGCAGGTGTATAATGTTCTAAACATCTGAACGTGAGAGGGTAGTACTAACTTTTAGTCCTACCTATTTCCGTAACAGATCCAGTTAAAGTGGTGAAATGACTTGTGAGTTCTATGCAGGGAGAGGGGGAAATGTATCTTTTCTTTAGAAATTGATCATTATAATGACAAGTGCATATTTAACATAATGGATTTCTTGAATAAGAGTCATCATTGTTTCAAAAGATACTAGGTGCTCTTTCTAAACTGTACTTATGTTGTTGTTGTTGTTGTTTGCCGTCGAGTCGGCCCCGACTCATAGTGACCCCTCCTTGGGTTTCTGAGGCAGTATCACTACGGAAGTAGGATTGCCCAACCTTCCTTCCAAGGAGTGGCTGGTGGGTTTGAACTGCCAGCCTTCTGGTGAGCAGTCAAGTGCCTTAGGCACTATGCTACCAGAGCTCCCATGGCAAACTGTACTCATATTTGCATTAATATTAAAAATACAGAGATAATTAATTAGTGGTCAAAATGAAAAACTTAACCCATTATTTGAAGGATATAGACCTTTTAAGATGTAATATAATTGGAATAATTTTACTAAGAATTCATGTTTTTCTTTTCCACACTGAAAAAAATCATAAAATGAAGAATTTCTTGTTTTTTCCCAAACCAACAAAAGGATATGCTTGATTAGCTAATATTATATAGGTGCTTTAAATATACTATCATGCGAGGACTGTAAAAATGCATAGCAAAAGAATACTAAGTAGTATATTCTAAATGGAAATCGATATTCCACTTCTTCCCTGGGTGTTCTCATACTCAGTTCTACCCTATCTTTATCAACTGTAATATGAAATATACACTAGGCAGATGAAAGACGTTTTTAATTTTCAAAGTATTTAGGATTATTGTAATGCTTTATCGGTACTGTAAGAAATTCTGCAGTAACGTTGGCAGCTGTAGCTGTGGGATAAGGTGCAATCTTGGTCTTCCTATGCAGCTTCGGATACAGAGTCGACAAAGTTGGCAAAGAGAGCTTGGAGTAGCTGCAGAAAGAAATGAAAGTATGTGATAATTAAAATCAAAACAGATTTTAATATGTTATAAGGTGCATTAAATAAAATCATAAACAATAATAGTGCATTGTTGTGAACTAGAATAATCTGATCACTGTACTAGGGGAATTTACAGAAGCACTTGAACTACTTTTATTTATGAGATCTTTTATACTTAATATGTAAACCATATGTTTATTAAAACATTATAATCTTCAAGGTTATGAAATTATAGTTAAAATTCTGCTTTTTGAAGGCTATATAAATCAAAGACCCCCAGAAGTATTATGTGCCAAAAAGGGAAATTTTAAGTATTTATTTTTTTCTTCAGATGTATAACATCTTTAATGATAAAGCAAAGTTCATTATAGTAAAAATTTTATTTTATTTTTAAGCTGGCTTAGCCTTAAGTAATTCTGTTTGAGAGCCAAAGTCTTATATATGAAAATATTTCCTGATTATGTTTCCACATGTTATAGCAGCTGCATACCCTTAAAAAGTGGTGCATATTTCTAAATATTAATAAGCAGATATTAAATTAGAACCATATATAAGGCATCTCAAACAAACTGAATGTATTTAACCAAAGGAATGTGAAAGTTTATATAAGATGAAAAAAGAAAATTAAAATCATCATTGCACCATCTTCATAGATAGAAAATTACATACTTTCACAAAATTTGTTCCCAAAACCTATTTATTAGTATTTGACATGCCAACAACCAACAACAAAAACAACAAAAATCCTTATACTATAGTTAAACCTTTGAGAACCGGAACTCAATGGAACCACTTTGCTTTTCCATGTCTCGGAATTTTTCCCCCTTGACAGGATGCAATCTTACTACTCTTCTATCACTCATTTTACTGGAAAATATTTGAGTTTTCCTTCTCTAACAGTTTTCCACCTTACAGAGTTTCCAGCTTTCACAAGTTTTACTATATTTCCGTATATTTAAGGCAGTTGTATTTTTGTGCTTGTACATCTCCACATGTATTCCTCTTACCTTCATACTGAAGCAGTATTCTTTCCACCAAACTGCTAGAAGCAGCTATGTCTATAGGTCGCAGAAGCTCTGTATTTTTAGCATTGATATCTGCTCCAAATTCTAGCAGTAAGTTTACAATTTCTGCATTGGATTGTTGAGCAGCAGCATGCAATGGGGTATCCCAATATTTGCCTTTCTGTACATCAGCACCTACATGCAGACAGGAGATGATGAAAAATATAAATAAAAATTGTTAGATGAGTCACTTACTTCAATGAGGGGAGAGAAAAGAGGGTGCCTGTTGAAAGTACAAAAGGGACCTCAGCGCTGTCTGTAATGAACTATTTCTTTATACATTTATACATACTCTGTGGTAGTGTGTGTATATATACATAAATCAACATAAAGTGTTGAGAATTTTTATAGCTAGATGGTCAAGACACACATTTGGTAAATTGATCTCTACACATTTCTGTGTGCTTAAAAGATTTCATAATAATAAAAAATGTTTAAATATTTTAAACAGTTCCCAAAGTAATTATATTAACTAAAATAATAAATGGGAGCTCTTATGGCATAGTGCCTAAGGCATTTGACTGCTAACCAAAAGTGCTTGGAAGGAAGGTTGGGCAATCTACTCCCGTAATGATACTGCCTCAGAAACCCAAGGAGGGGTGACTGTGAGTCGGATTCGGCTTGACGGTACTGAGTTTGGTTTTGTTTAAAATGATAAATAGTGTACAATTAAATTCACTCATCCATATTTCCATCATGGTTGGTAGATCTTAATATAATTCAAGAGCTTATTGCTTTCATTCTTTTCATGTATTTCAAAGCAATAGAGCTCTTCTATTTATTGAAAAACTCATAAATCTAAATAGTTATATAGGTCAAATGTATATAGATTTTTCTGTCACTTCTTACTTATATAGTTTAAGTCAATAAATATATAAGGACAGTGAGCCCTTAAATGGAAAAGGCACATCATGTTTTTGTAGGAAAAATAAATGTAAAAAATACTTACATTAAAAAAAAAACATAAATGTAAAATTGCCTACTGCATATTTATTTCCTCTTAGTGCAAGGTCTGTCACATAATGGTCATAAAATTCATGTGCAATGAATAAATTATCTTTAAAAATAATAATCCAATATTTTTAGTATGTAAATGGCTACTTATAAACATACTAAGTAATTTTCAAATCTGTTTCTGATATTTTAAGTAAAACTAAGGATATCTTAATTTAGTTGTACACTATCATTTTAGTTAATATAATTACTTTTGGAACTGTTTAAAATATTTAAACACTTTTTATTATGATGATACTTTCAGTAAAACTAAGGATATCTGTCAGCCACAGTACATTTTAAGGATCCCTTTATAGCCCTCTTGCTATTTTCAAATTCCAATAAATATAATAATTTTTAATATTATTTAACCAAATATAAAATGTTTAGAGGAAAAATGATATTCCATAGCAAAATAAAGAAGAGAGAGCATAAATTCCACTAGATAAATCAATTTTATAGAAAAATGGGGCCTGAGAATAACAATCAATCAACAATTACTACCAACACTTTTTCAATATATTTTTAACCAATATAAAATATTGAGTGGGAAGGATTATATTACTAGCAAAATAAAGAAAGGTGATAAAGCATGAGTTCTATTGGTTATATCAAACTTATGGCCAGAGAATAACAATCAATGATTACTATAATAACTCATGTTGAAGAGTCCTCGTAGGCGTACTGGAAATGAAATATTAGATGTAGACCTTCCTTTCAAGAAATTTATAATTAAACTAATATAATGTGTGTATACAGGGGTTGCTAAAATATGTATATAACAGGGGACACATGAACTGTCTTAAATAATAAGTAGTATCAAAATCCATTTATTCATTTTACTTATATTCATTATACAACATGAGAGGCATTGTGCTAGAAAAAAGTGATGATGGAAAGAAAGGCATACTCTGTATCCTAAAGGAATTCCCTGTCCAACAAAAAGAGAGACCGCTGGGGTCTTGAAAGGTCAGAGAGAGAAAAAAAAAAGGAGAGAGGGTTAGAGAGGGTTAAAATTTCACCCTGGGGAAGTGGTTTACTAAAAACAGGCAAAAATAAAGCAGGTAAGTTTTTCAAGGTAAGCGGGACAGTAAGTCCAAAGTATAGGCAAGTAGTGAATTTTTGTTTGGTAAGAGATAAGATTCCTCAAACAGTTACTCTTCCTAACATTTCTTTTGATGTATTTGTTCATAGATATATATACATATTTGGCAACATTATATTCAGCTCCAATGATCTCAATTTTATGACCTTTAATAAGTTAAGGGGCCTTAGGACTCCTTATATGCCTAATGTCTGCTAATGTTATGTATGCAAAATATGTTTTCCTTTGTGAGATATCAAGAATAGTTCATTTTTATTGGTCATACACTTATATATGAGAATATTTTTAATAAGAATTTTTGTAACAAACCAAAACCAAATCCACGGCCATAGATTCAAATATGACTCATAGTGACACTATAGGACAGAGTAGTACTGCCCCATGGGGTTTCCATGGCTATGAATCTTCTTTTTTTTTTTTTTCCTTTTACGACTGTAAATCTTTTATGGAAGCAGAATGCCACATCTTTTTCCTGTGGCGACTGATGGGTTTAAACCACCAACCTTTTGGTTAGCAGCCAAGTGCTTTAACCACTGTGCTACCAGGGCTCCTTATTTTTGTGGCACTGAGAAATACTTTATAAAGGTGCTTATTTAAAGAACTAAATATGGAGTTGAATAACTGCTTGTGTGTATGCACAGAATGGAAAATATTTTAAAGAAAAATACCTGCATAAAGAAGTTTCTGGATGCAATGGAACTGTTGTGCCATACATGCTACATACAGAGGAGTTCCCAAATGAGGAATGTCTTGGTCAACATCTATGCCCCCGGATATCAGTATTTCTAGACACTCATGGTGACCTGCCAATACAAAGTAGGGATAAGTTTACTTTTACTTAATCTTGCCCATCCCCCAACTCAGCTCCTCCCCTCACCATGCTTCTGCCCTGCAATGTTATTCAATGAAAGATAAATCGAGCATTGTATGCTGCTGAAGGAACTTTCTCCCCTTGTCACTTCATCTCATAAGCACGTTACCTTTACTGGCAGCCTCATGTGTAGGAGAAGGAAGGCATGACTCCAGCTGGGCTTTAGCACCATATTCCAAAAGAAGTTCTGTACAACTTGAACTGCCTTGTGAGCATGCATTGAATAATGGAGTCACGCCATCTATTGTGATTGCATTTACCTAGATCAAATGAAAAACTGAGAATGAAATTTACAGAATCATACAAGATTAATGGTCTTAATCACCTATTTTTAAAAAGCTGTACAATCTGTTAAAAATAATTGGGCAAATATGTATAGTGAATATGGCAGAGTATATTTAGCTCACATATCAATAAAGAAAACTATATGATGGGGTAAAATACTTTTATCAGTTGCATGTTCACTGGTAATTAGGTAATTTACATGTGTGAACATGCAACTGGGAAAAATCATGAAAATCAATTATTAGGAAAAAAGTGAAGAAGAAAAAAATGCAATGATGATGACAGCTGTGAAGAAACCACTTTGCTGGTGACAGTTTAAACTGATAAAATTGTTAATTCTATTTGTGAGAATTTATCTCAAGAAAAATGAGGAGTCATCCAACAGATGGACAAAGCTTATGGGCATAATGATGTCCATCTATTGCTACTTAGAGTAATGAGAATGAGAAATAACCTAAAGAATGTTCAATATTATTATGCCGCATGCAACCCATTTTTGTAATGACAGGAAATTCTTCTCAGAGTGCAATGATCACTCTGAGACAATTATTTTTATTTTTATTTAAAAATAGTATTGATAAAAAGAAAAAAAAGAATTTTGTTTGACTCTTAGTCAGTAGATTTAAAATTGTTAATGTTTTTAAAAGGTACTTACATTAGCTCCAGCTTCCAGAAGAGTCCGGGCACATGCCACATGATCTCCGAGGCAGGCTTCATGCAATGGGGTGATATGGTCTATGGTTACTGCATTTACATTATAGCCCTAAATATGACATCAATAATTTTGAAAGGTGAAGAAGTTATATAAAATCATCTGTCTAAAATGTCATTACAGAATCATATATTTTCAAGAACAGAGAATCTTAGGCAAAAGAGCTTAAGCAGAAATTGCCAATTCAAATGCCATAGATTCAAACAGCTGTCAAGACTACTTAGCTCCATAATTGTACCACCATCATACCTAGCTATGATACTGCCTTAAATATGCTT